ATGCATTTGAGGCAGGTAAATAGTGTAAGACGATGGATAAATAGTGAGAAAGAGAGCGAGGGAGAGACTTTCTCTTCCTGCCAGAGATGATTGGAGCAGACAATGGGGCCTCCTACTTTTATAGGTCAATTACTGATGATTAGGTGGGCTGAGTTAATTAAAGAAATTACCCAAAATGCAAGCGCAGGGACTGCTTGATGAGATACCAGCGTCACTTTCTAGGCACCCACTTTTGGAGCTGCTTTTGTCCGAGAGGGAGGTGCTTGCAGGAGAGAATTTGAATGAAATGGAAAGACTTGAAACACCTCAAGTTTTGTTGTTTTTTTCCGGAAATGCTGGAAAATCTGAACGAAACTCCGGCTTTGTAGGTTAACCTTGTTTAGAATTTATGAATTATGTGTGTTTTTATTTCTCAAGGATTTGGTTTTGTTTCAGGGCGTCTTCAGTATTTATCGCAGTTTTCTTTGTCCCCTTAGTCTGTGGTTTTTTTCTCTCTGTCTTTCTTTTCATGTCCTTCTCCTTTTCTCCTTCTTTTAATGTAAATAGCCTAGAATTAAGTTCTGAACATTCAGCGCTGAATGAATCGAATCACAGATGGTCTATTTATCGTGAATTGAATTTTTTTTTTCTTGAATGTGTTCTCACTTTACCACTGATAACAATACTTGATTCGGTTACTTTGCATACTATTAATCCTGAAAAGCGATGTATTCATCCTCCCTTTTCATTTTTGAACTCGTGGTATAAATATGATTTCCCTCATGCTCTTTTTACTCTATAATCTCGTCCATTGTGAATCACGTTGAAATCCCTCTATCTGAGAAGAGGGGGCCTGTAATATTACAGTACATTCAGGTTTAGAGGAGAGTCATTAACGGTGTATGGCGACCCCTAAGAACCAAAAAAGACTGCTGGCATGCACGGTTTAACTTTTAAAGAGCATTTTTAGCTGTTCAGTGGCATTTTTAAATAGCGTATTCTCAATTTCACATGTAGTACAGATGCACGGGATGAAATTCAAACTTTGCATAATCATTTTCAAAAATCTGGCATTTTGATCTATTAAGCATTCCCAACTGTTAAATATTGGAGAATAGCTCCAGAGTCGCATTGTTTTATTTTGTATGCATTGTAACTTATGGCAATGATGAATTAATTTCAGTGGAGCACAGAATTTGTGATTATTTTAAATGGTATCCATATCTTAACTGAATCAGAGCGGGTGAAGCTAGCAGACTGTGAAATGTAATTTTTAGTTTTTTTCCCCCCGTCTTTTTTCATCCTTCCTTGCAATGTTAGGATTCCGGGCACCTGAGCAATGCACTGATAATGACTAGGCTTCTTGGATCACAAAGTCTGCCTTTCCGATGCCTCCCTGAAATAATCATCAAGCTCTTTTTCAGGTCTGTTCTGCGTGTCCTATCAGGGGAAAGGGCCGCCGGTTTCCACGGGAGGGGAGAAATGAAGTGCGTCTCGGCGAAAGTGGATGATTTCTGTGAGTGTGTGTGTGTGAGAGAGAATGTGTTAATGTCACAGTCGCAGCCTCTGGTGCCCCTTTTCAGCGACTTGTATTAAACATATCCCGCAGTTTCCAAGCGCTTTAGATGATGGAGAACTTAGAATCACAACATCCAAGCTCCGATAAGAAGGGTGCCACGTTTGATAATGAGGCAACATTTGTGGTTGTAAAATCAGATCAGCTCAAATGAGCGTGAGTAACTTGACTCCTCCATGATGAGGAGTGTGTGTGTGTGAATGAGAAACATCTGGGCTATATTTGTGGCTTTTCCTCCCCACACCTTTCTTTGCAAACCCACCCACCCGAAATCACAGGCGTAGCCCTTGAATGCGTTGTCAGGATCCTGTCTGGGATTTTTCACCTGATGGAAAGGACAGATTTGCTCAGCCTACGATTCGAGAGCAAACATTTACACAGCCAGAAAGGAATCGCAAGCGTGGTACCGTTACAGCGTTTAAAGCACAAAAATCACACAGTGAGAAAAGAAACCGATCCAAATAACATATTTTATTCCTGAAATGCAGCAATTTGGTTTTTATCAACCTTCTTGAATACACACTGACTTTTTTTTTTAGATGATGACTGTTATCAAGATGATATGGGTAATAGCGGTTCACAAGCTCAGTGTTTATCGCAGGACTCAGTATCAAATGGGCCGGAGCTTGTCCACACTAAAAGACTAGCAAGGGCTGTAAATATGTTCCAATAGCACGAACCCTTGACCCCAGTGGGTTTTTAGGAAAAGACAGTGTGTTATAATGACAGGCAGTTGGCCCCAAGGGTCAAAGACAGAGAAAAAGGGGTCCTACAATAGATGAACAATGACAGACTTTGGGTGCTGGCTTTCCTCCCTCTCTCTCTCTTTCTCTCTTCGTCCATCTCTCTCAGGCGGTACAGTACCGTACTAGACTCTCTCCTTCACTCAGTGTCATTCAGACACATAACCCCCCCCGCCATCCTCCTCGCGTCCGCTCCATTGCGTGGAAACGATCGTGAGCGAGGATGTGTTTCTAATTGACATTGTAATTGGCAGATTTGGATGCTGCCTTCAGATGGCTAATTAATTTATCTCACCGCTGTCATTAAGGTTAAAGCAGCACCTGATCTCTCTGAATACACTTTGCATACATCTGCATGAGCATTACGTTCGGTTAGACACCTACACGCCAGTTGTGGATCATGTGGATTTAGAGGATACAGTGTTAATAATGTGTGTTTCTATAATGACAGGATCAGTATTCCGCGTCATTAAACCCAAAACCAAATTTGAAGGGGAAAAAATCTTTTTTTTTTTCTCCCTCCTTCTTCCCAATATTACATCAAAATGTCATCCATTCTTTAGTTATTTTAAAACATGTGTGGAATAATGAGTTTGTAGAAATCATATTTGAATTTCCACAGTGCAAACTGGGATTACAGTGATTTGAAATGTAGTTTTAATTAGCGTTTTGTTTTTTAAGGTTTGAGTAAGAACAGTGTCCAAAACTCGTCCCTCACTTTTTAGTCTCCTTCATTGTGGCATTAAAAAATACTCCATTACGCTGTTCATAAAATTCGCGTAAAGGCAATCAAGCGGCCCTTCTCTGCATATTTTAAACATGGGGCATGTAAAATTTATGCCTAATTTGAATACTTATTAGTCGCCTAATCTCTACGGCAGCTTTGTGTTTCTTCAGGAGAGATTCGTCAGCCCTCACACTGTGCGGAGTCTCTCTCTCTCTCTCTCTCTCTCTCTCGCTCTCTCTCGCTCTCTCTTTCTCCTGGTCTGCTAATCTTCTGCACTTTTGTTTGTTCCCAAGTTGACCAATGCATACTGGCTAGGTGGTGTTCTTTTTAAATAAATTTAAAAAAAAAAAACTCTTGCCTATAGTGTTTCTCATAAGACACAAGCCGTGCCGTTAAAATGTCATTTGCTGATCTGAAAAGCAGCCATGGATTAGAAGACTACGTCTTTGTTGTGTCGTGTGTTTGATTAGCGCCGTTCTTTTTTTTTTGTTTTCATGGCTCGGCTGTCGAGTTACTGTACGCTCTCATTCAAAGATCGCTGCTAATTGTCCGTACGTAGCAGGTGACAAAATTGATGTGTTTAATCTGTGGAAAGAAGGATGGCGGAGCTGTCAGGGAAATAAATGAAAGGGTTGCTGGAAAAACGAATCCCTTCTAAACATTACACGAGATTAGGGATATTTTATTGTGCGTGCTCGCCATTAGCGTAATTAATATTGTTTATGTTTGAATGCACTGAAATATGAGACAGCCCGTCATCATTTTCTGAGAGAAACAAAATGTGTAATGGGAAGAGAGGAGGGGGTTCGATGAATATGTGAATGATGGAGTGTGTATTAAGGCTCTTGTGGGTGTATTAGCTATGCAGAACACACCTTGAATTGCGTTTGTTGGGTCGGACGATTCTTTTATTTATTGCAAGGATCTCCACAGATCTTAGCAGGGTTCCTGTGAACGTACACAACATTTATGCAGGGAAAATTATAAAACATTTATTACCAGAGAAGAGGTAATATGCATAATTTATGCTGTTTTTAGCACAATCATTAGTGATATTCGTGAAAGATTTTTTTTTGAGCCACCACTCTCCCCTGTTTTCATATCTAATAGATGCCAGGGAAAATTAATTTAATTTCTTTTCATTTATTTGCCAGAGTAAAAATTGACGTGTGCGATTTTTGCTCTGTTTAAATTTGGTGTTTGAATTTTAATTGTGCTCGGCGGACGGCACTAAATATATGGAAATAATGAATATTTGAGTATGTGATTAAAATAAAAAGGAGGAACAGAACTAGCCTATATGTGACAAGCTTTTTTCTCTCCTCATTTGACTAGCAGGCGAATTTTATTTAGCTTCAGCTAAAAGAAAAGACCATTATATCGTTCATCACAGTACAGAAGCATGTGATTTGTAATTCCCCCTCTTCTCCCCTCACCTCCTGTACCAAATTTTAATTTTGCATGATTAGCTGTGCGTCATTAAGCAACTCCGTTCAGTCGAGACGCAACGAGGATATTTTAAGACGTCTGAACAGGGAGGAAAAAAAGGCTTCATACGTGTTATATTTCAAATATGCTCCTTTGGAAATTATTCACACCACATTAAAGTCACTAAATGTATTTTTAAACACACCATGTGATGTTTATCTGTGTGTGTGATGGTCAATATGCAAAAAAAGGCCATTTAAAAAAAAGCATGCATTAAGCAAAATTTAAAAATAAATAAATAAAAGGCAGGAAGAAACATCTCTTGCATCTCTTTGTATTGCTTCATTTACACAGTGAATGCATAATTCCACCCCCTCCCCCGTTAAATGCTTTAATTTGCAAAGGGTGCAGGGGTTGATAATGGAAAGCTTTTTTTCTTTCTCGCCCCCATTTTTCCTTTTTCTTTTTTACCCCCCCTCTTTTTTTAGGAGGCAACTAAAGGGGATTGTAACAAGAGCCTTAACCGGTGCCTCTTAATCACTTCTAGGTATTAAGTCATGATGCAGGAGTCGGCCAATGAGACAATAAGCAACAGTTCAATGAGTCAAAATGGAATGAGCAGCCTAAGCAGCCAATTAGATGCTGGCAGTAGAGATGGAAGATCAAGTGGGGAGACGAGCAGTGAAGTAAGCGCAGTCGAGCTGCTGCATCTGCAACAACAGCAGGTAAGTTGCGTCTCTCTCCCCCCCTCCGTTGTCATCCGCCGCGCT